TATTAATTTTTGTGTATGCTTTTATTATATATCATCGCTCATGACAAAAATAAAAATATAGTATACGAAAACATGAGTTTAATATGACGCTGCAAATTTCGAATGACAATGTAGCTCGTGTACAAGTCAAAGGAGATTCCATAATAGTGCTTAAGAAATTTCAATTCAATGTAGTACTCACAAACATGGCTCTGCCTGTCTGCAACTCTTCGAAACCACCATATTCCATCAAGTATTATTCTTTTTTGTTTCTCTCTTCTTCATGCTTATTTACTTCCCTCTTCATGCATTATGACTTCAACTTCACAATATAACCAATGCTATCTAAATATCACATGCACAACCGTATCCGCCAGCTTCTATCACTAATAGCCACAAGCAAAGCCCGTCGAGCCATATATAAAAAACCTTTTTACCTTTGGGACGAAGCTTCTGGCAACGTCACAGACTTCAACACCTATTTCGTGTTTGTCATTGCTCAATATATAAAAGGTTTGCTCCTGCAGATGGGCTCACATTCTTTCTTGTTCCTTATGATTCCACTCCCAATATCACAGCAGGCGCTGCCATGGGTCTTCCAGCCAACCTAACCACCGGCAAAGCGTTCAGTGCCTTTGTTGCTGTGGAGTTTGATACCTATTGCAATAACAAGTCGACCCAACCAACAAAACTCATGTAGGTATCAATATCAACTCTCTCAATTCTAGTGCTTATGCAGTATGGAACAGTAACATGACAGATGGTGGGTTTGAAAATGAAGCTAGGATTAGTTATAATTCTAGTTCAAAAAAATTTGAGCGTTATTCTCGGTACTGTTTCTGTAAATAATGACAGCCCGAAGGTGCCCTTAGTTTCGTGGTTGATCTGAAGGACTACTTACCAAGCAAGGTTAAAATTGGTTTCTCAGCCTCAACAAGAACTAATTATGAGAGAAATAATGTTAAATCAAGGACTTTCAATTTGACTTTACAAATCGATGAGCCAACACAACCAAGTCCCAGTCCCAGCGCCAGTCCAAGCTCCAACACAGTTACTCATAGCCCTGGAAAGAAGATAGGTGAAAACAACAAAAAGGCACTGGTAGTGGAATTGATTGTCAGCTCATTTGTTTTGGTTGGTGGGTTGTTTTGCTTGGCTTGTGTCCTGTGGAAGAAAAGTAGTAGAGCAAAACAAGAAGATGAGTTTGCTATTGAACTATCCATGGCAATGACTTTGAGGCAGGTACTGGGCCAAAGAAATTTTCATATGGTGAATTGTTTCGTGCAACAAATTACTTCGTGGACGAACAGAAGCTTGGAGAGGAGGATTTGGTGGGGTTTTTAAAGGTTTCTTGAGGAATTGGATTCTTACGTTGTTGTGAAGAGGATATCAAAGGGATCAAAACAAGGAATAAATGAGTATGCATCCGAAGTGAAATCATTAGTCGGTTGAGGCATAAACATTTGGTGCAATTACTTGGTTGGTGTCATGACAAAAGAGAACTTGTACTTGTTTATAAGTTCATGGAAAATGGAAGCTTAGATTACCATCTCTTCAAAAAAAAAAGCTTGTTGACGTGGGCAATGAGGTACAAAATTGCTCAAGGCCTAGCTTCGGCATTGCTTTATTTACATGAAGAATGGGAACAATGTGTGTGCACAGGGATGTAAAATCAAGTAATGTCATGTTGGATTCTAATTTCAATGCTAAACTTGGGGATTTTGGATTAGCTAGGCTTGTCGATCATGGAAAAGACTCTCAAACAACTATTTTTGCAGGGACCAGGGGCTACATGGCACCAAAATGCCTAATCACAGGCAAAGCGAATAAGGAATCAAATGTTTACAGTTTTGGAGTTGTGGCATTAGAGATAGCTTGTGGAAGAAAACCTATCGATCTGGAGGTTCTAGAAAGTCAGCTGAGAATAGTGGAGTGGGTTTGGGACCTCTATGGTACTAACAGGCTTCTTGAAATGCAATAGATCCATAGATATGCCTAAATATTTGTTAAGAAAGAAATTGAATGCTTGATGATTTATAGCGATCCCGGTTGTCCCTTTACTGTTCTGTTGTATTCCGGACTCAGTTCCGTTGAGTTGATAGTTGTATCTATCTCGTTGCTATCCTTTAAATCCTTTTTTTAAGTTTTAGGATGTGTTGGGCTTGTGTTGAACAGGTGGGTTAAGCCTTGGTCTAAATCCTTGTTGCCCAGGTTTTTTGGTGTTACGCTCGAGCGGGTCATTCTGCGCTCGAGCGGAGTTTGGTTTCTGGTTTAACGCTCGAGCGGGCCGTTTGCCGCTCGAGTGGTGATTGCACACTCCCAGTATTTCGTGTCCCTGCAAAACTTCTGCAGGTGTGTGTAGACGTCCCCGAACGCCCGGGAGGAACAGCTCCCGTTCATTTCATTTGGGGTCACTACAGCTCAGGACTCTTAAATTGTCACGGTTCTAAATCTGAACCAAAGAGTCCAAATCCGGCAAATCGTTTTGAGAAAACAGATTTTTAGAAAAGAAGTGCCAAATAGGACTGCTTTGCCAGATACAGAGTCGCCACCTAATTATTTTATTTTTTGAAAAATTTAGGAAACCCTGACTCGTTTGCCTAAGGCCACGTGTCCGTCATCACCAAAGTTGCCTCGGCTCGGGAACTTGGGTACGATTGGGGAAGGTCACTTCGTGAGCACCCCTGCTCGCCCGATCAAAGATCGGCCTCTACTAACCATGATATCAAGTTTTGGAAACATTGTGTGTTCTTATTCTGGTTATTAGCCTAGATTACTATGTGATGCGCACAGCATACAAGTATAGACTGGATCGTCTGAATGGAACAAAAC